TCCGTTACCGTCGGTCGCGGAACGTAGGCGGGGGGTGGGGCCGCCGTTGCTGGGGGAGGGCGGGGGCCGCGGCGAAGTCGCGGTGGCCGCCAGCGGACGGGTGTAGGCGCCGCCAGAAGCGACGGCGTGCGGGAACTGTGGCGGCGGCGGCGTGGAACTCGTCTTTGTCGGCGCACTCGGCCCATTTGTTGCGGGGGAGATAAGGTGGATCGGCGGCATCGTCGCGCTAAGAGCGGTGCCGTTGGGACGCACGTTGTGGCTCGAGCTGATCCGCGAGGGTGCGACGAGCTTCCCCGCAGCCGGTGCGTCACCCGTGGCGGCAGGACCGGCCAGCGCGGATGACGTCGTCGACGACGCTGCGGCGGCCTGCGGTGTCATCGTGACCCGCCGCATCGGCGAGAAGTTCTCCTGCCGCGGCGCCAGCGGAGGGGGAGCACCGGCGGTGGGGGCCGTGGTGGTGGTGCGACAGCGACGGGTGCTGTTGGGCGCAGAGACACCGCCCAGAATGCTGATGTTTTTGGGTGCCGCGACAGGTTGACTTGCGGCCCGCGCTGCATCAGAAGGGTCGACGCTGCGGCTGCTCGAGGCCGGTGGGTTATGCGGGGGCGTCGGGTGGATGTCAGAATTTGCCGGGGCGGCGCGCTTCGGCGGTGAGAGGGCGGCGGTGACCACCGGTTTGTGCGGCGACGGACGATGAGGAGAAGAAGCTGCCGCGACGGGCGTGGCGGATGCCTTCGAGGTCGGCGATGACGCGGAAAGAGTGGCCGGCGCAGAGCTCTCCATTTCCTTCGCCTCCGACCCTGTGCCGCTGTCTTTGCTCCGGCGACGGCGGACGGGATCTTCGCCTGGTGCGCCTGCGTGGGGCGTAGCGACAGGGGTGGCGCTGACGCTGGGCGGCTTCGAGTTGGGCGGTGTTGGCGTGATGCTTTGGAGTGAAGAGAGCGGCGCCACAGCCTTCCGGACTGGGAAAGCACTAGGGCTCGTCGCAGCAGTAGCGGCACTACTGCTTCTCTCGGTGTTCGCGACGCCTTTCGAAGCGGCGGCGGTGGGTGCAGTGCTCGGATGCGCGGTGCTCGACGTCTTCGCCGCCTGCTTTGGCAAAGTCTGCTGCTGCTGCTGCTGCTGCTGCTTCTCCTGCTTCTCCTCCTCCACTGCTTGCGTGCCGTTACCGTCGCGGGGCCTGCTGTCCATTGAGTTGTCGAGAGCGTCAACGTCGCTCAGGTTTGACCCGCCAAGGTAGTAGCCGCCCGCCATCATCGTCGCGTCGATGGAAGGGTGATCGACCGTGGCGAGGAGGGAGGGGTTGAGGGGAGTCGTGCTGGCGCGGCGCGGTGCTCCATCAGCGCTGCAGCGACGGTGGTTGTCGAGGTCGACGCCGGACATCCCTTTCCTTTTTTTTTTTTCAAAGCTATCACCACTGTACCTTTGCTGCACGTTTCTGTGCTGAGGGATATCCTGCGGAAACGACAGGACAGCAACAGCAGCCAGAAACAAACAAACAAAGAAAGATGTTGGGGGGAGTGGTTCGTGCAAAGGCCAACCCCAGAAATCGGATGGTCTGCACGTGCTTGGAAATAGTATAATACACCAACACACACACACACATTCTCTCTGTGCTCTTCACTTTAACTAGGCCGTTTCCGTTCTTGGAAACACAGCAAATACAAACACGCCGCAAAGACGACGAAAGCCACAGAAGAAGAAGGAAAGAAAACAGAAAACACAAAGAAGGAAAACCCCGGCGAAGTAGAAAGGGAGAAGAAGAAATCAAACAACACGCAAGGCGACAAGAGATGCACAGTTTTTCTTTTCACGACCAGGTGAATCAGGAAGGAGAACAACGGAGTAGACCGACGGACGAGAAAGCGCGAGCGATGAAGATGTTCGGTCACCTCAGGGGAAAAAAAGGGGTAAAACAAAACGAGAATTTAAACAAAGACAACAGCAAAGAGAGGAAGAAAGAAAGATGGCTGCTGCTGCAGCGAAATGCAAAGGAGAAAAGCGAAACAAATAATTCCTTCTCCCTCTTCCAGTCGACTAACGATGCTCTCGAACGAACAAGTGGTTGAAGCGAGGGTATAAGCTCGCGGAGTACATACGAGAAGAGAAGAGAAAGAGAAGAGAAGAAAAGGAAAAACCAATAACAGCACCAAATACACCAACACCCACGTACTTACACCACTACACCAAGAAAACTATTTACTCCCTGAAAAAAAAAGAGGAAAAGAAGAAGATTTCAAGAGAAAAGTTTGATGGCTTCGTTTTTTCTTTCCTCTCTTCAAAAAGAGAAATGCAGCTTGTGGCGTTACTGGTGGTGTAGATGGGGGAGATGGAAGGCAGGCTTGAGACGGATACCGCTCAATTAAATCACACCTGCTGGGCTGCACCGCGCGCTATATAGAAAAGAAAATAGATTAAACCACTTTATTGATCTTACAATTGAAAGGAGAGGAAGGGAGAGAGAGCGATCGAGAGAGAGAAAAACACGAAAACAAAAGTATGGCTGAGATGAGTGTTATTCAAGATCAAGCGTTCAGAGGAAGACAATTAAAATAATAATAAACAAAAAACACTTAAATGTATTGAACTTCGTCTTGGCAAAGAGTTGAGGCGGCCTTTAAAACAAAACAAACAAGAAAACTAGCAAGAAAAAATAAACACACAGACGTGAAGCGCAGATAAAGAATTTATCGGATCAATCAAACGAAAACAGGGGAGAAAAGAAGAAGAAAAAGAAGGAGGAGGAGGGTTACACTAAAAACAAAACAAAACAAAAACAGAAACAGCGAAAAGAAATAAAAAAGAAACAGAGAAGGCTAGAGTTAATGACAGCAATAATATATGTTGACAGTTGGGGCAGCGCGAACTACCCTTCCTTCTTCACTTCCCGCAAGAGACCTTTACGCCTTTACTTATATATAAATACATGTAGAGAGAGAGGAGGGGGGGAATGCACACTCGGGTTTGCAGAAAGAAAATAATAATAATAAAAGAAAAGAGGCAGAAAAAAACGACAACAATACCACCACGTACTTTAATTGAGGAAAAAATAATAAAAAAGAGAGCAACACAAGTCTGCCTCTCCTCCTCTCTCTCTTCGTCCGGTCGTCGAAAATGTGAGGTGCGTGTGGACGTCGCTTCAGAAAATACACGTGAACCACCACCACAACCACTGTAACAAAAAACTCACAACACACACAAACAACAACAACAAACGTCCAAATAATAATAATAATAAAGAATGCTGGAACGCCTACGACCGATCACCACAGGCAGCGCCGCACAGACGTCGATACACGATTAAAAAGAAGGAGGGAAACAGTTTTCAAACCAGCGACAACAATCACAACAGCAGAGCGAAGTCAGAAACAGACAAGCCAGAAAAAAAAAGAGGACCAATAAACTGAGCCTTGCAAGGCTTAAAAAGGAGAGAACAACACCAACAACGAAGAGAGAAGCAATCGTTGATGTGACAGGGTTTCCAAAAAATTAAAAACCATCAGTTTTTATCGTTTTCGTTCTATCTTTGAAAGTGAATTGGTGTTGGGTATTATATATGTGAGCCTCGTCGTGGCACACGTGCGATAAGCACTCACGCTCACAGTATTACAACACTGCCTCTTCGAAGCAACCAGGTGAAACTGTGAAGAAAACCTTTTTTTAAAAGGTCTGTGCGTTGGTGCAACGCTACGCAGCGGCGATTTGGAAACGCGAGACGGGTAGTCGAAGAAGAGACTCGACACCGACTACTACGACAACACCTCACCCCTTTTCCTTTTCGAGCTCGGAAAGGAAAGGGAAAAAAAGAAAGTACACGAGCGAGCAGACAAAGAACTCGCTGATCCTTCTTTTTTGGTTTTTTGCTCTTTCTTCGTATGTGGTTGGTGTGCCGTGAGCGCGGTTGTATGCGGGGATATGCGGGATGTCGGTGAGTTCAGCGCTGAAGAAGTACTCCAAAAAGATGAGGAAGGATACCGCTCAAGGTTCTTTCGCAGCAGAGAAGAAAACAAGTAAAATAGTACAGGGAAGACGCGATGCGTTGCGGTGTATACGCAATTGTACACTGTGCAGTTATTTATTTGTTTGCATTTTTTCCCCCACAGCGCGAGCAGCGGAAGAAGGAGAGAAGAGAAAAAAGGATGGTGTTTGAGGAATCAGAGAAAAAATTATATGTGGAGATGTGCATGGATTTGTGGGTGTTTGTGTAGCAACTCAAAGGAGGAGGGAGGGGAGGGGAAGGAGGAGGAGTGCGGAGGAAATGGATCGAGGCAGAGCACACGTATAGCACTACAAGATGTTCTGGCTTGAAAGCGTCGGCTGTAATGAAGGGACATGAACCGCAACGACAAGATCAGCAAGAACAATAATAGTAATAGTAGTAAAACAGAAAGGCTATTCATTGGAGGCTCCCACTGCCGCTTCAAGTAAGAAAAAAAAAAGCCCGTGAGGGAATGCCCCCCACAACGAAGCGATAATAAATTTAGTCAGGAGGAGATGCACTATGATGTAACGCGTGTGGCGTAAGCCCTTTCATGTAGATCTTTCTTTGTTATTAACACATTCAAAGAGAACGTCAAGGGCGGCAATGACACGTCGGTCGCTGTAGAACACGCACTGTACGAGTTCGACGCCGCCGACAAAAGACACAAGATACCAAGAGCCACAACACACACGACTTTTTGCTCCCACAGCGCAAAAGGTCCTCCAAGACAACTACAGGCGGAAAGAGATAAAAGAACGCGCTCTCTTCCTCTCACGCCTTCATGTTCCGCAGCGACATCAGCGTCACCTCCGCAGCGGCGCTCTCCGCGTCACGGCGGTTGTTGTGCCACCGTGCCGCCTTAAACCGCGCCGCCCCGCCTTTTTTGTTCAGCATCGGCAACTCTACCACGCCCAAATAATACCGCGGACCACGCCGGTTGGTGTTCTTGCTGTTGCGGGCGTTGTGTGCGCCGACGAGGCCGAGTTGCGCGAGCGCCTCCGCCGGCAACTCCGTCTCCGTCACCTCCTCCACCGTGAAGAGGCAGCTCTTTGCTACCGGGGTGTAGGGCCAGCGCCGCTCGCACTCCTTCTCGAGCTCCTCGCGCAGGAAGCGCAGCGACTGCATTCGTTTCTTCTCCTCTAGCACGTCTTTCTTCGGGGCCGTGATGACGTTGCCGCTGGTGCCCTGGTGCAGTCGTGCGTTGCCCCCGCCTCGGCCCACCACCGGCCCAGCACTACCACCGCTGTTATTACTCGAGTTAGTCGGAGCTTTATTATTGTTGTTGCCGTTGCCCTCGTGAGCTTCGTTGCTCGCTGCGGCCTGCGCCGCCGGGGCAGAGCAGAAAGGCGAGGCCATGTTATTCTTCTTCAAGTCTCGCTTCGCAAACCCGGTGAGGCTGCCATCGTTGAGGTTGAACACCTTGTTGTCCTCAATGAGCTCCTTTACCGCCACCCACGCAAAGCGCAGCTGGTCCAGCTGAAGGTAGTTGAAGTAGCGCAGCTTCTCCCTTTCTTCATAGTAGAGCAGGAAATGGTTGTGTCCTGCCAGGAGGGAGAAGCAAGCAGTGCTGTTCGTGACGGTGGTGGCGGTGGTCGCCCCGGCCGCCCCTGCCGTGGCGGGCGCGTGCGAGGCCACGTGGGCGGCCCGGTAGTCGCCTTCCACCTTGGACCGCGAAATCACCTTCGGCCCCCGCGGCGTCGGCAGCGTGAGAGACTCCACGTAGTAATACAGATCCGTGTGCTGGGGTATTATCTTGCTGGATTCGACATAAAACTTCTGGAACTGCGGCAGCAGCGTGAGGGCGGAGCGGACGTCTTCGTAGGGAATCTGGACGAGTGCGGCCGCTTCCTCACTGCCGTTGTTGTCGTTGGCCGCCTCCGCACCGTCGTTGCCGCCTCCTTTCCCTCTGCTGCGCTGCGACGCCGCCGCCGCCTTCGGTGCCCACTCCGCCAGCTCGTACACGGGGACTAACCAGTGTAGCGCGCTGAAAATGCCCACCTGTCGCAGGTGCGCCGACGCGGCGGGTGTGGCGGTGTGCGCTGCATCGGCCGGTGTGCTGTCCTCCTCCGCCAGCTTCGCAAAGGTGATCGGGTAGGTGAGGGGCTCCTCCGGCGGTGGCGGCGGTGGCGGAGAGCGCGAAGATGACGCGCACATGAGAGAGAGAGAGAGGAACGATCGAGGGGAACGGTGATGTAGTTCTGTTGTGTTCTGCTGCTGCTGCTGCTGCTGCTGCTGCGACTGCCGTAGCCGGCGACAAAAGAATAAAGAAGGCGTTGTGGGGGAGAAAACACATGTTAGAAGGGCGCAGGTGAAACGGGCGAGAACAGGAAAGAGAAGGGAGGCGCATGGAATTGAATGGAATGGTGAGAGAGGGAGAGAGAGAGAGAGAGACGACAGAGGTCCCGAAGACGCTAAAGAAGCTTTCTTTGTGCTTTCAGCCGTCGAAAAGCCTCCGAGAAAACACTTGTAGACTCCGGCAGGTGGGAAATGCCGCATCTCGCGCGGATTCCTTTTGCGGCCGCAGCAACGATGACCATCAAGAAAAAAAAAAGAAGCAAAAAAAAAGAAACACGAGAAGGAGCAGACGGCGTTGCGGTGTGTGTGGGAATGCGAGTCTTACGTGGAGGCGCCAACCCTCATCGGTCGTGCCAGCCCCAGTTACCCCCCCCCCCCACCACACACACACACACGTGAACGCAAGAAAGATTTCTCTGAAGTATCAGCGAAGGGTCCCCCAAAAGCAAGCATCCGACCTCTCCACTTTTTTGGTGGCTCCTTCCATTTATTTTCATATATATTTTTTACTGTACTTCCAAGTTTGATCAGCATGGGTGTAAGGACAACATGTGGTTTAGTTAAGATGTGTTGAAGTCGATTACGCAGCCAGTGGGTGGAAGAAAGGAAAAGAAGAAGAAACGCACACACACATACAGACACGACAGCAAAACACTGCGTTGCTCCGAACATCGGTTTATCAGGGCACTGACCCGCCCACAAAGCCAAGAATATCGAAAGACAACAAAAACAACATCAACAGCAAACGAACACCAGCGATGTTGTTCATTACAAAGAGGGAGTGAAAAATAAATATGATAAAAACCGCAGCGAGCACAGGAGAAAGCAAACACACACACACACACACACATGAGTTCCACAACTCCGGTGTGACAGGTGAACTGCAGAGACAGAAATGCGGGAGCGATGATTTCTACGTCGCGAGGGTGGCTCCCATCATCCCCGTGTCGCCTCCTTCCCGCTTTTCGACCTCTTCCCGTCGTCCTAAAGGACCGTTGTCAGATGCCTCACTGCTTGTTTGGCCAGAACACGAGGAAATGCGAGCGCAGCGGCGCGGTGCACGTCTGTCGTTTTTTTCTTCTACCTCTATTCAAACGAAGGTGCATTCGACAACGGATGCTAAGCAAATAATAATAGTATTAGAAGCGACGTCAGCTGCATGCACACGTGGAAAGAGGACAAGGAGAGAAGAAAAAAAAAACATCAACACCAGAAAAGAAAAAATGTTTTTCGGATGTGCTTCTTGTTTATTACTTAGCTTTACTAGAGTAATTGGATGTATTTTTGCAGTGTTCTCATACACAGAACTCTACGGTTGTTTCGCTTTTTTCTTCTGCTGTACATAGCTGCAAATGGAAACTGTATCTTGTCGGGCTGACGGCATCCACGCATACTCGCACACCAACACACCCGCATAGGTGAATCAGAGCCATTATCCCTGGAAAGCCATGAGGGATGGACACGTAGCGGGGATGAATGAACTACAGCAAACAACAACAACAGCAGCCCCCATATGCCGCGCCCGTAAGATAGCCATAAAACTATATATATTTGTAAACTGTGGGCGGCCAACGTCCATTTTTTTCTTTGTCTTGTTTTGAAGGAAGAGTCAACAATTAATGCGAAAAGGAGAAAGGAAAAAAACAACAACAAGCAACCTGGAAATTAAACCGAACATTTCTATCTGTTCTTCTTTTCTTTTTTAAAGGGAAGGGTGATACAGTGAACAGCGACGATCGCTGCGTTGAAGGAGGCGCGATGCTGCAACGGCATGTTTAGCGACACACAGCACGAGCCCCGTTCAACCGTTAAACGCACTTGGAAAAGGGAAAGAAAGAAAAAAACATCAGCAGGAAGCCCTGCATCCTCTTCCTCGAGTGTGCGGCGCAGCTGCGATCTCTTTCTTTTTTCCTTTTCTTATTTGCGGAAGAGCGTCGAGCGGTGCAGCTCACAGAAGGCCTCCCACTCCTCCTTCTTCACCGGCTGATGCTCCTCTGCGTGCGCAAAGATGAAGTCATCCGGCAGCAACTCCGGCAGTACCACCGCCCGCAGCCGCTCCGTCGCCGCCGCGTAAAATGGGTTTGCCGTCATGCTCTTCGGTGGCGCACCGCCGTAGAAGAGCGGGGCCTCGCTAAGCGGCTGCGACCCACCGTACCAGGCAGGAATGAAGTCGGGGTGGATGTACTCCTCCAGCGCGTGGCGCAGCGCGAAGTTCGCCTTGTCGCTCTCCTTCGCCTTCTCGGAGCCGTCCTTCGAGACCTCGTCGTCGCTCTCCTCGCCGCTGCCGTTCACGTTCTGGCTCGGCGACGGGCTGTTGGAGTCGACGCTGCTGAGCTCGTCGAGACTGGCCTTGTTGGTGGCCGAGAGGAGAAGAATCTTCTTCTGCGTCTGGGGGTCCAGCCAGGGGCGGACGATCTTGAAGAGCATGTTGAAGATGAAGCCGCCGTTGATGATGATCATGCGATTCATGTTCTCTGGGAAGTAGCTCTGCCCCATCATCGACAGCACACGGAACAGACGGAACGCACGCTTGCACTTGCTGGAGGTGATGTGCGACACCTTCACGCAGCCCACATCCACCAGGCAGGTGGTGCCACTGCCGTTATCCATGAAGGTGTCCGCCGACGTCGGCTTCACCCCGTCCAGGCAGCCCAACCCCTCCCGGATGATGTGCTGCTGGTTGTAGTTCAGCAGACGCGAAATGCGGCGCCCCTTCTCCAGCACCCGCAGGTACACCCGCGTCAGCATGTTGCTGTAGGGCGGCGTGATGGAGTTGTAATCCGGGTTGCGACAGTCGTATTCGTTCTCCACGTAGGGCCACCGCTTCTCCAGCATCGCCAGCTCCTTCGGGTTCGGCCGCTGGTAGAAGATGGCGTGCCCGCGACGGTCCACCCCGCTGTTCCACGCCGCCCACCCGGCCTGGAGCAGCGGCCGCGGCAGCTTCACCTTGTCGGCCGTGGTGTAGTTCTTACGCTTCATCTCGCTCATCACGAACTGCATCAGCTCTTCTCCGTCGAGGCCGTTGAAGGTCGCCTCCACCTCGCGGTCCCACAGGATGCCATTCAGGTCGTACCGCTCGCGGAAACCGATGTAATGCAGAAGGTCGCCTAGCGCCAGCTTCACGTCCATGCGGCGCCCAATGAGGAAGCGGTAGATGAGGTCGCAGTCGGACACTTTGTGAATGTCGGGAATGGGCATAATCTGCTTCAGCTGACGCGGGTCGCGGATGGTCAGGTTCTCCGGGTAGGTGGGAGAGGTGTCGCCCTTCTTTTTCTTCTCCTCGAGCGGGTCCGGCTGATAGGGGAGGGTGCCCTTCGCGGTGATCTCTTGCTGGTAGCTGCAGAGCGTGTCGAAGACGCGGCGGTTCAACGCCTTGTGCTCGGGCGTGATTTTCTCGAGCACGCAGCAGTGGTCCTGGTGCTCCAGGTCCTTCACGTACTGCGCCTTGCATGCCTCAAGAGTGGTCATGGCTAGAGGGAGGGAGAGAGAGCGAGAGATGCTCTAAGTTTTTTTTTCCTTATAATGAAAGGGAAAAGGCCTTGAATCGTGTGCGGTTATATTTGGAAAGTAACGAGATGGTATAGAGCCCAGATGCTTTCTTAAAACAAAAAGGAGGAGAACAGAGAAGAAAAAAAAAACTAGGACCGAAGTGTCAGCTTAATTCAATGAAATGAAGCCTATCGCACGCCAACACACACACACACACGCATACACACGTACGTGATGCAGTGATTCGTATTTTCCTCTCTCGTATATCTGATTCCAGTGTCGTTTACTCCTTCCTACCTGCAACGATGTCGGCGACCTGAGGGAGGATATGTGTGTAGAAGTGTAGGATCACCGTGGGCGCACAAGCAGGGCGGCGAGTTGGCAGAGACAGCAGCCAGAGGAAAGGGGGAGCGAATGAGAGCGATATCTGCTGCGGCGAACGAGCCGACTCAATAGATGATGGTGTATGGAAAGTCTACCGTAAAGGACAAGAAAAAAGAAACCTCTCTGACGGGTAACGAGGGGCGTGGGGCACGACAGCGAAAGGTGCAGAGCTCAGAATAAAAAAAAACTAATAAAAAAAGGTTAAACAAGAGATGAAAGAAGAATGAAAGAATCGTCAGGGAGGACTTCGCGGATGGCCAACAAGAGCGAAGGAGAGAAGGCGGGAAAAGGAAAGGATGATGAAGTAAAAACAGCAACCACCACGAGAGGAGCGTAACAGCGTTCATTTTTCGGTTTGGGGGGGGGGGGAGGCTGATTCAACCACCGACCAGATTGCCTCCTGTATTTCGGCACCTGTTTTTGTTGTTGTAGACAAATGAGTGGAGGTATCTGTTCGAGGTGCTGAGCAGTTGCTGGGGCATCCTTTCACCTTTCCTCTATCAGGGAAACGATGCCGAGTGCGTCGCCTCTGTTTGGTAGACGCTCCCGTATCTCTTGTTCTCTTTAACTGGACCGTTGATGTTTGCTCCAATCGCAGTGCACGAAGAAGAAGAAGGAAAAAACCCTGACAGTTTCCATGTTCACCGACGAAGAGAAAGGAAAGAGCAAAAGGAGGGCGACGTACGGGCACGGTTCAAACCAACACTGCAAAAAGAAAAAGAGATACCTCAACAACAGCAATAACGCAGTGTTGTCGCCGCGACGCACAACCGTCCTTCTCTGCCCCGCCCCCCCCCAAAAAAACCAACGCACACACTCCACTCCACTCAACACACACACACGCACACGCCGAGAGACACACGTACAAGAGGAGGTAGAAAAGCGAAGGAACAGCAAATTTCATCCCACAGGCGACAACAGAGAAAGACACACACATACATAGATATATACCAAAAGAGAAGTTAAAAAGGGGGTACGTAGTGATAAAGCAGAGAGCAAGAATAGATATGAGAGAGAACAGCAGGCACGAGCTTCCTGACTCGAGCAGAGATGACGGACGGACTGCATGAACAAAGAACGAAGAGAGAGAGAAAGAAAAACCGGCTAAAATCAGCAAAAACAAAAAGAAAAGCGGTGAGATAGAAAACTATGAGAAGAGGACAGCAGACGGAGATGCATCGCAGACGCACGACCTCCCCCTCCCTCCCACAAAACACCCCCGACGTACCAACAAGTCCGTGGCGCACCCACAGAGAGAGAGAGAGAGAGAGGATTCTTTACGCCTCCGCTTCTGTTGCTGAAGTCTGTACGATTACTTGCGCAGCGAGTGTATCCCCGCCTCTTCCCCCCTCTCGACTGTCTTCGCGACGACTATAGACCGCCATTGTACAGCAGCGGCAACGCCGCATCCACCCCCGTGCCGCCAAAGAAGAGAAGGTACAGCAGCGCCACGAGCGAGAAGACAACCACCAAGGGCGTAATCACCTGCTCCATTACCTTCACATTTTCCGGCGTGAAGACGACATCTTTCAGCAGGTTCAGCAGCATCATGACACCGTTCGCGGCGGTCGGCCCGTGCTGCTGGAGGAGATCAACGGTCTGCACCGCTGCTGCGCCGGCCTTCGCGGAAAGCAGCAGCGCCGCCGCCCGCGCCCCCTCCTTCGTCCCCTTCACCACCTCCGACTGCGCCAACAAACGCGTCAGTTGCCGCGGTAGACGACTCGCGAGGAAGCCGGAGCCGCTCATGCTGCTCGCATTCGCCGAGCCCGTGCTACCCAGCACGCTACGGCGACGGTAGGCGACGCACGACGGCGGGGCGGAGGATATATCGCGCGTGTGGGCGGGCGAGGCGTCGCTGTCGAGGCTGCTCCCGCTGTCCGACTGGTTGCCGCGCCTTCCAAGGAAGGATTGGAGCAGCCAGGCAACGAGACTCCCAGCGTTGTTCGACTGCGGCTCCTTCCCCTTCGCCGCCGCCGCCTCCGCCGCCGCATCGTGCGGTGGTGTCAAGTCATCCGAGAGCTGGAGGTTGAAGTGATTGCCGGAGCTGCTGCTGCCCAGCGGACTACTGGCGGTCGTCGCCGCCGTGAAGGGTGCGGTGGCGAAGTCTGGGTTGGAGGTCGCCGCGCAGACCCGCTCGGCTGGTGCGGCGGTGATGGCGGTCCGAGTGCCCTCCAGCGTGGATGGAAACGACGGCAGCGAGGTGTGCGTGTAGCTTGGGGAGTAGAGCGGGTTGCCGTCCAGCGGTGGTGGCGGGGTGCGGGCGGCGAGTTCGGCCGCCTCCGGATCCAGCGTTTCCGTGCGACCCCACCGTGAGCTCACCGAGGAGGTGGTGATGAGAAAGCTGTTCTTCTGAAGGGGCTCGAAGCCGGACATGTCGCCGCCCGACGCCATCGGCTCGGGGGCGCCGTAGGCCGTCGGGGAGAGGGAGCCGGTGACGGAGTCGTCGAGCAGGGCGAGCCCGCGGCCGGTGCTAAAGCGCGGGCGTCGTAGGCGGCTGTCCTGTGCTGTGTGCTCGCTTGGCGTCGTCGCAGCGCCAGCGAGGTAGAAGTCCGCCTCCGTGAAGCCCCCTGGGTGTAGCGGGTGGGTGGAGGACGTGGAGGGGTACGTGTGTATCGACGCCTGCATCGGCGGGGTCGCGTTGGCGGAGGAGTCGGAGACAGTTAGGTACTGCGACTCGTTGCGCTGCTGCTGCGGCGGGGAGGGCGTGGGCCGCAACGTGTTACCTCCCCCAGCAGCCGACATCGAGGAGGGCACTCTCAGAGGCGCTGCCCCTCGGTAGGAGGTGGAGTCGCGGCGCAGCGGCAGGTTCGTGGTCGACGGCGACAGCGTCTTCTGGCTCGAAATGCGCAGGGGCACGACGACGGTGCCGGCGCCTTGACGATGATCGGTAAACATCTTCTTCGCTTTTTTGCTTACGCGGTTGGTGCGGGTGGCCGCGAAGGACGGCGGCACGACCGGGAGATTGTTCCGCTTCGGCGGCGCTTTGGCGATGTGCTTGAAGAGGCCAGGGGGGGCAGGGGCGGGTTCGGCATCGCCACCGGCGTCTAGGTGGAGGAAGTAGTAGTAGAAGGCGGCGATAGTCACCGGCGACGGCTCCATTGGGTCGTTGTCGCACTCAGTGCCGCCATCGCCGCTACGCCAGCGCACCAGCTCGCCCAAGACAGGTGGGAGAATGCGCTTCTCCTCCAGCCGCGGCAGCGTCGGCACGATCGTCTGATCCTTCGTCACGGTCCACCCACGCTCGCGCTGCCGCTCCTGCTCGATGACTGTCCGCACGAGACGCTCACGCCACTCGTGATAACTGCGCTGCTCCTTCGCGATCCACTTACGGGCCCGATCTACGCACGTGTTCTCGTCGCCGAGGGGGTGGTAGTACACGTAGAAGACGGGGCGATGCGAGAGGCAGGGGGAGGCGTAAGGGAGGTTCGTCGCGGGGTTTGGGGAGTCACCGGCCGGCTTCGCATTGCCGTACCCCGCCACCAGCGGCAGTGGCGGCTCTGTCATATTTCCGTAGCCGCATTCAACCTTGTGGCTGTCACTGCTGTTGCTGGGCGTGTCGCTGTTGAAGCTGCTGCTGCTGGGCGGCACAGCGTAGTCCCGGCTGCTTCGCGTGGAGACGAGCGCCTCAAAAGCCCGCCGCTGCGGCCGACTTGGCACCGAGCTGCGCACGGCCTCAGTGGAGGCACGGGTCGTCGTGCTCTCGCGCACAATGCTGAGGGGCTGCCGCGACGGCGAACGCCCGTCGTCGTCGTCGTCCTCCGTCGTTGTATCCGTCTTCTTCCCGGTGCCGTTTGGCGTTGCGGCGGCACCGCTACGGCGCAGGCCCGAGTTGCCGGACACCACGTCGACGTTGTGGTTGCTGGCGGCGAACACGTCTGTCCCGTCCCGCAGCGGCGCGTTGGGCGCTTTGTCCTCGACGTCGCTGCCGTTGGGGTAACGCGTTACGGGCGGCAGTTCATCGGCGCCGTCTTGATTGCCCTTCTTTCCCTCTCCCCCCTCACTGCTGCCGCCTCCGCCTCCACCATCACCCCACCCTTCCTCATCGCGGCTTAGGACGGGAGTCGGTCGCGACCATGCGCTGGCTGCCTTGGACGACTTCTTCGGTGCCACCAGCCGCGACAACACGTTTGGATCGCCCACCTCCATGAAAAACGTCCGCCGCTCACCGGGCAACAAGACGCAGTCGGCCATCTCCTCTTTCACGAGCAGCGGCCGATGATCGCCCTTGGCCGCCGCCGCCGATGCCGCCGCCTCTGACGGCGAGACCGATGGCTTTACCGCGTGTGCGCCCGTGGGATTCGCATCGTCGCCCCCGTGGTGGCCGTCAGATCTGCTGCCACCTGCATTCGCGTCCGTCGCCACCGATAAGAATCCGTGCTCCTTCCACGTCTGGCGGGAAACGTCGAGGATGGTGGGATCAACGAGCTCATTCCCCCACAGCGCGTTGCCGCTGTGACGATGACGTCCATGACCACCACCGCCAACCCCCCCAACCACCCCGTTTCCATTGCGGAGGCGCAGGGGTGAGGCGACGGTGGTGCTGACGGCAGGCTTTGGCTGCGGACCACGGTAGAAGAAAAACTGCGGATGTGAGGAGCGCAGTGAAACGATGAGGGAGCACGGCTCGTCTTGATCGGGCACCGCACTCACCTGCCCGGCGTTCGTGTTCGAAAAGGTCAGCTCACGTGAGAGCGGCGGCGCCCGTCCGCTGGTGTTGGTGATGTCAATCTGCACCTTGCCGTCCTCTGTAATAAGCTGGGTGACGCTGACGCACGACATGCTGCGTGCGGGAGAAGAAAATGGAAAGGAGTTATGCGCGCTGATTTGACCGCCACCCCCTCCTCCTTCTTAGCTAGGGAAGAAACGAATGAGAGTACTCCGAAAGGGTGTTCACACGTACACACGCAAGCGAAGAAGCGGCAGCCGGGCCCAGACCCGCGCTTTCTTGTGTTCTCTTTTGGAGAGGAAAAACCAACGGAAAAAAAGCAAAGAAAACCCCGCAATGAAATGTATATGAAAATAAGAATAGCCCTTTTCTGCAGCCGTACGCGCGATCGAATCGCACGTGGAGCAGCTGAAGGTGTATTCCCTCCGGAAATATATAGATCAACAACAAAAACAACAAAGGTATTGAGAATCAATAATAAAGAAAATGAGGTGTCACCGCGGTCGCAAATAATAATAATAATAATAATAATAATAATAATAATAATAATAATAATAATAATATATAGAAATGAAAACAGAAGAAGGACACGAAAGTGCGTGCCAATACAGCGGAAGAGCGTCCAGTACACAAGGAAGCCCGAAAGCGGCAACACTACGATGATTCTAAAGTTGCTGCGATCCTTTGTTTTTTTGATAGTGCGAGCAGCGAGAAGAGGTGCTGCCGCGGCGTAACAGAACAAGAAGGAAAAGGAAGGTGGCAGAAGGTATACAACCACGTGGGGAAAAAGTGCAGCGGCTTGCAGGTATACAGGCCATAGAGTGAGAGGGGTATCCGTGGCGTTGAAAACGAATCCTCCTACTGCTAATAGTAACAGTGAAAGGAAGCTCTTCTGCTGGTCAGCCTCGCTCGCTCCCAGTATCCTTTCTTTTTAAAAAACCGCCACCACCACCACTACCACCACCACAAACACGGCAATAATAGTTCGAGCGACGAGGTGGAAGATCACGAGAAGCACTGCGTCGCGCAGGGCTTTTTTCTTTATCGAATTCGTGCCGCACAGCTGTCGCACACCCATGACGGCAGCAGCAACAAGAACAACGCCACACGTTATGGGACAGACGAGAGGCGCGATATGTGAGACGAGGATGCCGTCACGGACGCGGAGACGAAATGGAATGAGAAGAGAGGAGAGGAGGAAGAAGGGCGGGAGGTTGAGACACGGTGAGTAGCACCAGAAACACCCACCCACCCACACACACACCACCCTTCATCACGCCCACGAAAGCTGCGGCGAGACCTTCACAAAGAAAGCGAAGGCAGCGCACACAAGGAGCAAAGGACTCACTATATATATATAAACACGCATGTATAGTTTGGTATCCAATTCGATACTGCGGAGGAAACATAACGCGCGCCGTATCAGCGCAGCGGTGACGTTGACATAAAATTCAAACAGAGCAGCATCGCGGCAGGAAGAGAAAGAGAAAAGCAAACCCACACAAATACACATGAGAAACGGCAAAAACATGCTCACACACGCCACAGACACACACTCGCAGAAAGAAGGCAAATTCAGCGTACACTCCGGCCTCTCTTCACCAACTCACGCGTCTTCGAGAGCCTCTCTCTCCTGGATCTGTCGCTCCGTCGCAGCCCGTCGCAGCCGTGATGCACGCGTGGCTCTCGGCGACACATTCACAGCACGCAGCACGGCCGACAGCGGCGTCTGCGCTGCCCCCTCCGCCGATACGCTTCGACGGGCAGCGCGATGATCCGCGGAGGCCCGTGAGTCGTCTGCCGACACGTTGGAGGCGCGTTCAGAAGCCGATAAGGCAGGCGGTGGCGGTGGGGGCCGCGGCGGTGCTGCTGGGCGAGAATGAGGTGAGCGCCCTGCGATGGGAGTCCCCGTACGGCTGTGACTTCGACTGCGCCACGACGGTGGTCCATTGAGAATCGCCGGCGTCAACGAGCGCGGGGACGTACGCGGGTCACCCGCTTTACGCGACAGCAGCTCCAGCTGAATGCGCAGGAGGGCGTCCGTGTCGTGGTGCCGCAGCTCCCAACGTCGCCCGCGTTGGTTTGCCGTGGGGCCGCTGAAGAGCAGCCGCGCTTCTGATGGATCGACGGTCAGCTCACCGTCCACCAGACAGCCGTTGCCGCTTTGGAAGGTGAGGAGCAGCGACGCAATGGCACGCGCGGCTGCCGTTACTGCTGTGACGCCTGTGGAGGCCGCAGTGACGGGCATAGGTGCTGCACGCGCTGGAGAACTGCGCCGCGGGGTGTTGATGGTGCTGCTGCCGCCGTCATCGTCGTGCAGGTTGGGCGGGGCCTGCAACCGCCGTGGCGTGGAGTTGTGCCGCAGCATCGCCGTTACGCATCTCTCCGTCCCTTGCGCGACCTCCTCGTGGAAGTCGTCAAGGTCGCGCACGGCCTGATGCGCAAGGGCGCGTAGTTGATGTGAGGCGCCCTCCCGCAGGTTCCGCACCTGCATCTCCGTCGTGCGGCAGCGCGCCTCGAGGGCCTGCTGCGCCGCCCGCCAGGCCGCGTGATCTGCTGCGTAGCGTCGCTGCAGGTCGTTCAGTTGGTCCCTCAGAAGTGCCGACTCCTGCGCGTGTGCGGCTTCCACGCCCGACACAGTTTGTGCTGTCTTGTCATTGCGGTGTCGGTCCGTCGCAGGCGATTTGTGCGGCGGTGCGTTCATCACTGCGGCGGCGTCGGCCACGGCGCGAAGCCGCTCAACCTCCTCGCGCTGGCTTTCTACGATAGCATTCTGCCGCTGCTGATGCTGGCGGTCCACCGACTCCTGCAGCTCTGCCCGCAGCTGCTGTTGATCGTGCTGTAGTGCCTGCACCTGCCGCTCGCGTTGTCTCAGCACCTTCACCAGCGCGGCCTGCTCGTCCTCGTAGTCGCGCAGTTGCTGGTCGCGGTGCTCGAGGGTGCGACGCAGCTCGGTGACCGCCTGCACCAGCGACGCATTGCCCTGCGACTTCTCATGTTTGTCTCCTGCGGAGGTTGAGGAGTCCAACGCAGGAGGCAAAAGCGGCGACGATGGCGATGAAGACACCCCGGCGTGCTGCAAAGCGCGGTTGAAGGGCACCGACCCCTTCGGCGGCGAAGGCGGAGCGGAGAGACGCGAGGGAGAACTCAACGAGGACGACGTCTCCCCCTTCGTGTCATCTCCACCGCTGTCGTTCTCGCGGCTAGAGCCGTCCCGTTGGCCTCGTCGTCGTCGTCGTTTCGCGCTGCTCCGCCGTGACGGCTTCTTAGTGTTGAAGTGGCGCGCGTTATTTGCTCCGCTGCGTTCATACGGCGCCTCATAATCGTCTTCTCTGATAGCGCTGTCGTCGCGCTGGCTGCGGTGGTGATTGCGCGAGTGACGATGACGATGTTGCTGCTGCTGTTCCGGCTCCGCGTGGAGAGAGAACGACGCCACGCCCTCGCTGTCGTGCAGCAGCCGCAGACGATCCTCCGCGAAGATGTCCGTTTGCGTTTCTTTGTTCTGCAGCCCGACCTCCGCCATTGCCGCACACGTCGTGGGGAACATCAACCTGTAGAGGTGTCGATTGAACTTGTAGGCGAAGTAGTGGACCCACTCCGCATGGGCGAGGAGGGATTGCGTGCGGAACACCAGCGGCGGATGCAGCCGCCGTGTGGACTGCGACGAGGAAGAAGAAGAGGCGTAAAAGATACCTTTTCGACTGTCCGTGCCGTTGCTGCCGTTCCTCTTGCTGCTTCTGTGCACCCGCCATGGGGCGAAGCGAAGATGGGGGCCACTCCGCGAACGCAGCAGATGGTGCAGGCTGACACCGCACGTTGACGCCGCCGCCGCCACGCGCTGCTCCGCCGCGGTGGTTTGTCGGTGCACAAAGCCGAAGTGGATGAAGGCGGCGTCCTCGTCGTCGTGGCTGCAAAGGTGCGCGCCGACAGCGGCGATCGTGCAGACATGAACCGCCGACAACGAAGAGGGCGACGTCGCCGTCTCGTGTTGGTCCCCGTCTGCACCGCGGCCGCCCTCGACCACCACCGGTGCGGCAGCGGCGGCCGCGAAGTCAGAGATGAGGTAGGCAAGCGAGGTGTACGACACCGCCATCAGGAGGCGCTCGCTCGCGTAGTCGGCGTAGTCGCGCTCCGTCGGGTAAACGCGCACACCGTGATCATCGGCGACGACGAAACACCGCCTCCACCCGCCCGACAGCACCGCAGAGGAAGATGCATTTTTCTTCGAGGACGATCGGCTTCCCCCGGCGGAGCCGCCACGGGAGAAGACGGACAGACGACTCGAGCGATTGCGCTGAGGAGGGAGATGCGCCGCGTCGGTGACCTGCGTGTTCGTGTCCGACACATGACCAGCGTTGCCATCCAGCTTAGCCTCCTCTTCGTCTTCGCTTGCGTCACCACCCTTGTCTTCGTCGTCGTCGCCGCTAAACCACACGGAGAGCACGCCGCTAACGGGCCCGACGGCGTCGCTGAGGTGAGAGGGGTACCACAGCGATGGCAGACCCTTCAAGTCATGTGACGGTGTCTCACGCAGCAGCAGCCGCGGCGGTGGCGGGGACAACCCCAAAGCCGCACCGTGTCCACTCCCCTCCTTCATCCCCTGTGTGCCTTGCCGCTGTGGGCTGCCGTGCGGAAGAGATGCTGAGACGTCCGCCAGGTTTTGTGCCGCAGCGTGCACGGAGGCAGCCAGGCGGGCCTCTAACGCCGGCCACGGAGTGGTGGTGCGTGTGAAGGACAAGGCTGGTGCATCCCGTCCGTTATTGCTACTAGGACGACGACGACGACGTTGCGCGGCAGCAACTGCAACAACAGAGGGAGAGGGAGGGGAGTTCACGCCGTCGCCGCCGCCCTTCCCTTCCGCGTCCCGTTGCTGCTGCTGCTCCTGTCGCTTCTCGCGCTGCTCCGTCGCCGCTGTCCAGCCAGCAGCGCGGTCCACCTCACGCGCCCACTGCCGTGCGGCCACGCTGGTCGTCAATGACCGCATCGTCCTCTCTTCGCCACCCGCCGCCAGCAACGTGTAGGTCATGAGGAGAGAGGCGCGCAGGAGCAGCACTTCTTTCGCGCACTCGCGCAGGCGATCCCGCAGAGCAGTCGTCGCAGAGGCGTTCGGGTGCCGACCGCTGCTGTCGTTGATATCGTCATTGTTGCCGCCTCTGACCCCGGGCCACTCCACCAACGCCGCCTGCTCCTCCTGCGCGTCGCGGTGTAGAGCCGCAGATGCCGTACGAGGGGAAGAACCCTCCGTGGGCCGCCCACCCGGCGATGGAGCCGGTCCATCCGTGATGACGCCGCTACCGCCGCTGTCGCCATCGTCGTGATGCCTGTACAGGCGTGGCTGCCCGTGCTGGTGCAGATACGAGGCCCAGGCGGCATGCAGGCGACGCGTGCCCAGCGATGGTGGGCCTGGAAGAGATTTGTGATGGGGCAGGTGCTCATGACGGTGGTGATGCAGTCGGTGCGACGTGATGTTGGTGGACATGTCGGTGAACACCCACGCGCTTCGCTCTGCGTCGAGCGGGTGGGAGGCATCAACATTTATTGCTGCTTCTTCTGCTGTTGCTGGTGGCGTTTGGGTGAGCAGATTACTGTCATCATCATCGTCATTGCTGTGATCGCTGGGGTTGCCCGATAGTTGTTTTGCGCGTTGCCTTCTCAGCGAAGGCGCGTCCCTGCGACTTGTTGATGTGCGAGCGTGAGGTGCGCCGTCCTTGGTGTCGTCTCCGCTTTCCTCCCTCCGTGTCGACCGCGAAGACTCCTCTCGGCTGGCCTTTCGTCGTGCTTCCTCTGCGTGTTGAGGAGCTTCGTTGTGGCTCTTCATCTCCCGCCCCTCCGTCAAACCTTCCGCTTCGGTGTGCGAAGGCGACGCACGTCTTTCTGTTGAAGAGGGCAGCGCCTGTTGCTGCTGCTGGCCTTCACGCCGTGCTCGAACGGGAGAGATTTTAAACGCCTTGCGGGCATCGACGAGCGGTGGCGAAGACATTTCACGTGGTGGTGACCCGCGCTTCGTACGGACCTTATCCCTGTAGTCGTTACCGCCACTGTCATCGCTGCTGCTGCTGCCGCTGAAGGTGACGGCGCCGGCTTTTGGTGGCAGAGTTCTTAAGTGAGAAGATGAAGTTCTTCCAACGTGTGGAGAGGGTCCACGCTGTGCTGGTGCGACGTCCGTGCTTTTATTCCTCTTCTTTTTCTTCTCCACATCATCCTTCGGCCGTGCCACACCCGCCGCGCTCGTGCGGTCACCATGCGCAGGCGAACGGCGATGGTCACCTGAGCTTGAGCGCGCTTGGCGTAGGTACTGCATAAACACTGCGTCGTTGCTGAGCTGAAGTGGCCGCTGCGAAGTCGGCGCAATCGGAGCAACACCCACCGTAGCAGGCGGCGTTTGATGTGGCGGGTGTCGTTGATTGTTTCGGCCAGCGTTCTTTTCAGCACCCGCGTGAAGGCCGGCTGAAGTGCGTCGTGGAGACGGCGGCGGTGGACGGAGCGGAGGAGAAGGAACGGCGTCTGCAGCCACTGCATCAGAGTTCCACGAAGGACCTACGCTGGCTGACGTTTGTGTCTGGCGTGGGATGGTGGATGCATGGCGCTCTTGCCTCTCTTCCTCAGCTGCTGCTGCTGCTGCTGCTGCTGGTGTACCCGCTGGTGGATACCTGGCCAGTGCCTTCTCTACACTCCTTGTGGAGGCCCGTGTGCGACCTTGTGCCGCGCGACGCTGCGGTCTGGGCTCCGCTACCGTCTCCAGAGGCGCCTCGCGTTCCATGCCGTTTGCCTCTGCGTCCGTCGCCTCTGTACCCTTCGCCTTGGACAGACGCTTGCCGCCCGGATGGCGCTCGCTGTTGCTGCGCTGCCCGTCGTGGTCGTGATCTTTTCCGCCGTCTCGGTGCGTCGCGGCGGCAGACGGCGGCACCTCTTTGGCCGGACGTCGCTGCTGTGAAGAAGAAGAAGAGCGCCGCAACGCCTCCTTCGTGCTCGTACGTTGTGCACCGATGTCTTGACCTGCCGGCGTGAGAGGTCGGGAGGTGCTCCGACTGTTATTAGTACTACGATTGCTACTACTACTGCTCGATGCATGTCGGTTGCTGCTGCTATGGTTGTGGTGGCCACTGCCCTCCCGGTTTATGTGAGGGGAGACGGACGCGGCAGGGGGCGGCTTTGACGGAGAACGCCCGCGCGCACGCTTCATGCCTTTGAGGAAGCTGAACATGGGTGAGTAGAGAAATGCCTTTTTGTTGTTGAAAATTTATAAAGTGATGTGCAATTCTATGAGAGATATCTGCCTTCCGCAGCCGGCAAAGACGAGCAGAAGAAGCGGGCGAACAAGTCAGCGGAGGCGACTTGTGGAAAGGACTGTAAAGGGCCCAGCTTGCTAGAGGCGTATGCGTACAAGGGTGCGCGTCTCAATCAGGGCAAAGAGCTGCAAGTGAAGGTGCAGCCGTTCTTTGGGCGCCGTATCCCAATATATGTTTTGGATGCTGCCGCTGCGGTGACAGAGAGGCGGAGCGACAGGGCGATGGTTGTGTTACATTGACAGGACTCATTCCCCCCAAATCAGAAGAAAAACAACAACAACAAGAAAGAAGGAGGAGAGGCGACAAGAGCACACAATGAAGCCGAAAACACAGAAATACACACGCAACCACACTCACACAGCGACAGTGAACCTGCTGGCTTGGAGGTCCCATGACCAAGACTTCATTCGAGCCCGCAGCGGTGCCTCAGCACACACACACACACACAGACACACACACTCACAGATAGACAGAACCACCAACCTCGTAAAGGCGTGGCCTTCAAAACGCCACAGTAGTCGACGGCCAGCGAGCCACCAGCGATCACATCCGGGCCAGCAGAAGAAAACACCGCAGAATGAATGAATGCGGTCGTGATTTCTTCTATGTATATATATGTATTTTGCCGGTTCCACATGGTAAACACTGGTACATCGAAAAAGCTAACGAAGTAAGTCACTGAGGGGAAAAAAGAAGAAGAGAAGGCGCTGATCCAGGTAAAACACATACACAGCCGAGGTCGACCGACAACAACAGGAAGAAAAGATCCTGTCCGCGTACATGCGCAACCGCCCTCCTCCCCTCTCCACCCCCACCAAAAAATGAAACATCAACAGCGGCAGCCGCTGCAACACACACGCAAAACACGTAGGGCTTTGCATCGCGAGACCACAACACCAAGTTGCCCGCTTTTATGCACTCGCCGGGTGGATCACTTCGGCGTGTAATCGAATCCCAACAGGGTGGCGTGCTCTTCATCTTCCGGTTTGCGGTAGGCCCCCGGGGATCGGCGGTGTGGGGCACCACACGACGCCGACCCTGACGACGAGCCCGAGTTGGTCGCCGCTGCCCAGCCCACCGCCTGCGCCGCCGTTGCGGGTCCTTTCGGATAGCGCTGCTGCAGCGTGTAGTGTTCGCGGCGCGCTGCCAGATACTCATCCGCCGCCCGCCGTACGCGAAGACTCGCTATCTCCTCTACAGGAGCCGCCGCGGCGGTGGTCAGCGTGGAGGCGGGGGGTGCGGCCGCCGTATCGTCCGTCACAAGCACCGTTGATGGCTTCTTCCTGTACAGGAGGGCGTGGATCTCTGGGTTGTTGGCGGGGTTGACGTACGCCTCGTGTGCGGCGGCGTCGCGTGTCTGCGTCCGCTCCAGTGCCTGCAGCGCCGCCGTTTCCTGGCGTGCCGTGGGATCGTACTTGTTAGCCCAGCGACTGCGAATGGACTCCTCCTTCTGCACCTGCTTTGCCCAGCACAGCGAGGAGACTTGTGAGTTTTTCATGCCCATCGCGATGGTGCCCGCCGGCTTCTGCGAGCGTGCGTACAGCTCCGGGTCGATGGAGTAGCTGAAAGTACCTTTCTTGGGCGGCATTGTCGCTCGGCGTACTTATACGTGTGTGCGTGTGTGTGTGTGTGTTGATGGAGTTGATAGCGGTACCTTCAGTACGTGTGTTTCTATTTTGTTTTTTATTTTCTTTAGTAGAGGTGAAATCAGGCGTGACCGTTTCTCCCCAGCGCTGCTAACGACGACGACGACAAGACCACCACAACAGTAATCCGAGAACAACAAAAAACGGTGAGGTGGAGAGCCTTCAGCGCAACGGAAAGGCAAAGGGGGCTTTGAAAAGAAAAGAAAGAAACAAGAAGAAAGCAAAATACGCAGCGAGGAGGTGACTTCACGAGGGGGGCAGGCCGTTACACAACACACGCAGAGCCGCCAGTTAACGCCCTTCCGCATTTTACAAAGAGACACATCCTATTAATAAAAAGAACAATGTAGCTGCATCGGCTTGACGCTGCAAAAGGCATCCTTTCGTTTTTCTTTCATGTTTCCAGCGCCAGTTCTCCCACTCGTGTTGCGCAAGTCCCAAAGACGACAACGGAGCCGTCATACACGCATGCCGGCGCCACAACGACCACAAAACGGAAGGAAGAGCAAGCTGGTAGGTGCACGAACACACAAGAACACACACACACACAAATAGGTTACAATACTCCAATACAAGTCCGTGCAGTCTTTCCAAGGAAGGCGACCATGACGAATCGGAAAGCACAGCGCACCCACACCCGCACACAGAGATAAAAGAAGATCAAATCAAAACGAAACGAGAACGGGGGGCAACAGCGGAATCGCCAGCTTTTGCCCTCCTCCTCCTCCCTCTCCCATCCGTCTTCACACGGGGCGACCTTGTGGGGAAAAGGGAATGACCGCCGTGGGCATGTGCGCCCGCACCTTATGACCCAACACCTCCTCCCGCACGGGAGCCCAGCCGGAGTAGCTCATCACCTGATAGCGCAGCACCACCTCCACGACGCTGCCCGGCAGCGACACGTCATCAAAGGCGTCCACGAAGTACTTGAAGGACTCATTCAGAAAAAGAACGCGGTCGACGTGGTCAACGTACAGCGACGAATGATCGTGCTCGCGGCTGCGCAGGGTCTCCTCGTAGGCCGCCAGCTGCTGGCGCTCCGCCTCCGTCATCAGCGGCTCGACAGCAACGCTCGGCGCGACGGTACCGGCGTTGATGGAGTGGTCGAGGAGCCGCTTCGCCTCCCGCTCTCGCCGGCGCAGTGCCGCCAGACGCGCCATCGACGCTGGCGGGGACACCGGTCGCATCACGGCATCGAGAAACACAACGTCGTTCTGCGCCGTGGACGGCGACTGAAAGCGCGCGACAAACGAGATGTAAATCGATTTCGTGTTCCAGTCCCACAGCGGCGAGAAGTCGATGGAGCCGGACATGTACAAAACAATTCGGTGGGTGGTGCGAACAGCGACGTGGTAGCCGGCCGGGAGGTGCTGCCGCTGCCACAGCTTCCGCTTCCGGTCCTCCTCCTTGTCCCCCTCGTGGTCCGCCAGGTCGACGACTTGGATGTTCGACGGTAGCGCCACCTTCTCCGGGCTGCTGGCACGGGGGAGGTAATACAGCGCTGCGTCGGGGAGCTTCGGGGAGAGCAGCACCTGGGTGCGCACCTCATACAGCGGCGACGTCCCCGAGACACGCACGTCACGGACAACGGGATGTGGTCGGAGCAGCAGATCACGTAGGATGGTTGTGCCCGCGGTGAGAAAAGCCATGACGAAGAAGGCGGAGACCGCAGAGGCAACGATGTTGCACCCACGTTGACGCATCGAATGCATTTTCTTTGGTGCTGCCTAAATACATAAATAAATATATATATATATATATATATAATAGAGGATATACTTAAGTGGTATGAGGGGATAGTGTTGTGTGAGTATACACGCACTGCATGAAGTGTGCCACCTCCGTTGACCGGCTTCTCTCTCTCTCTCTCTGCAAATATAAATAAATGAATAAATATATATATATTGCGCTTTCCCTTGCCCAGGAGAGCAGGCGATAAGAGTGTGGAGAGGTGAAGGCGACCGAATACAGTTTTCATACGATTCATAGATATGTATAAATACATATAACAATAGAGCCCGTCCATATTAAACACCTTAGCAAGAGGATCAGATCAAGGGAGGCGCTATGTGACGTTGCTGGCGCGCTTGGTCCGGCAACCCAATGCGAATCCATGACGGAGACACGCTGGCATGCGAAGTGGGGGTGGAAGGGAGGCAGGTGAGATTGTACGTGACGCGGCGGTTGCTCTGCGAGCATCCCTGCCATCCCCATTTGTTTTCCTTTGTTTAATTAACTATCTTTCGCTATTCGTGAGAGCTTCGAAGCATTCATTGCACTTCTCGCGTGCGCGCAGTGTTCGTTCAAATAGAAAAAGTAGAAAGGGAGACACTGTAAGAAGGGGAGTATTAAACCCAATTAAAAGAAAAAGAAAAGCAGTTCCAAACACGTGAGCTGCGCCGCCCGACTCCAGAAGCCGGGAAAAACAGAGGAGAAAGGGGGGGGGGAATACATCGTCAGAAAGGGATGCATATATATCTTGACGTATATATATATAGTGAAGGGCGCGCACTCAACCAGCACACCAAAGGCAGAGCAAAAAAAAGAAAGAAACGACAACCACCGGCGTTAACAGAATTGAGGTGACGAACGAAACGGATGACCACGACGAAGCATTAACAAAAGCAGAGAATACCCCCCAAAGCTCATACACACACACACACACACACACAGAGCAAACCGAAAGAAAGGTGCGGCGAATATCTCCCTGCGCTTCGTAAGAAGAAAAATGAAAAGAGAAACAAGAAAGACAGAACTGAAGTTGGCACGTACGTGAAGAAGAGCAGAAGGTGCTCTGCCAAGTAAAAGAGGAAGGCATCGTTGGAGAGGAGACTGGAAAACGAGAAAAAAAAAGAGAAGCACCTTCAAGTCAAACTCGCCAAGCCCACGATTTGCTTGCTTCACATACTAAAACGACACGTGTAGGCTTTACCTTCGTAAAGTGAGCATTTAAAGAGTGCTATTTACGCTTCTGTCGCCCCACAAAGCAAAGACATCAATGAGAGAAGAATATATACACACAACGGATGCACAGTTCATCACTTAGCCCAGCATTACCAAAGAAAGAAAAGAAAATATAATGAGGTGTGGAGATGCCACCGATCTTCCGTGACATGAACGCGCGCGGCACCGCAGCGTGGCGTCACAGCCTTTTTCTTTGTCGTTGTTGAAGACACGCTTGTGTGCGCATTCATACTTCGGCATGGTTAACCCGCATGCAGGCTCTCCGGCTTAACACAAACAACGTTAACGCTCCATCTTCATCTCGCCTCGTCTTTTGTGGTGCTTTGAAAGCAAGAAAACAAACAAACGAGGACACAATGAACATGCGTGGCGGATTACTCCTCTACCTAATAAGTTAGTGCTATGCCGCTCCCCCTCAAAAAAAAGATGTCAAGCAAATAGGGTAAAGGAGAAAAAACAAAGGTCAGTACGATGTTAAGTCGGCGCGCCTGTAAGGAGCGACACCCCCTCTCTACTGTCGTGGCGCTTGAGCTGTTCTTCTACCAACATCGACTTTTCGAGACGCCGCTGTCCACAATGAAGCCATTTAGAGAAGTACAGAGAAATGCATGCTGACACGCACACACACACACACACACACACACGTGTAAATGAAAACAAAAACGAAAAGACGAGCAGTGCTACGTCCCGGTGAACAGGCGTCGGAGTTATGCTGAGGAAGATGATGGTAATAATAGAAAATGAGAGAAGTCGCCTGGTCCCCATATACGAGGAGGGATCCGCAGCTATATATATTGTATTTGCTTCGGACAACTAAAGGAATAACGCACTGCGCGGCTCGTAGGGGCCGAAAAGGCACTCAAAGAAGAAGAAAAAAAAAAGACAGGAGACGATGTCTCCACTAAAGCAAACAAAACCCACGCTTCGGCAACATTATTTCTTTCTTTCCTTTTTGATATATATATATATATATATATATATATATAGTAGTATTGTTAG